AAAATGTCTCATACAAAAGTTACATATTTTTTCATGGAGAATCTAAATCTGCAATAAAAAATAGGGGTTTCTATTTAAGATTTCAAAGTCACCCCCCCTCCTGCCCCCGGGGGTGGTGCAGGGGGGTCGTGCTTTATATTAATGGATGACCCTCTTCGAGGTGAACAACTTTTATTGCAACTTTTTTAAAATCCGATTTGTATTTTTCCAAATATTCTGAAAAACAGTTTTAAATGCCTCACCCTGTATAATAGATTATGAATATCTTTGCCTGAAAATTAAATATAGTCATATTTTATAACTAGGTTCGAAATATAAAAGGTAACGATAAAACTAAGTGTTACATTTGTTACTAAAAACTGTAACTAAAAACAGTTACTAAAACAAAGTCATTACGCTGTCGTTACAGTTACAGGAGGAATAGAAAGTCATGTTATTAGCAGTCCGTTACCAAAAAAGTATAATAATTTGTAACAGCGATTCAATTTAAGTAATGCGTTACTTCCATACCCCGATTAAGGCTGCGGTCAAGCTGCCGTTGTAAACGCTTCGAAGCGTTTCTCCTCTCTTTCTATCTTTACTGAAAGAAAAGAGTAGATTACTTCGTTACATTTGAAGCGACAGCTTGACCACAGCCTAGAACTGTTTGATTGGTTTTCACGAGTGCTACATATTCCTGAAATTTGGTAGGTACAACATTTTCTCAACACCCTGTATAGCAGGCGTGCACTTGTATATCACAACGCTCAGTCCATTCTATACGTCGATGGAATACATGGATGAGTATGTGTGCATGTCATATACATCCACAGTACACTCATGCCCATATCCATACATAATATACACGTGTGCACAGCCTCGCACACGCACGTACGCACGCACACACTAATACACATACAAACATACACGATGAACAAACTCGACAGGCAATCTCCACATGGTACACAGTGAATAACACCATAATGCCGGTGATAAACTTCAATTTTCGAAAAGTGTATGACTAGCTTTAAAATTACTCAGTAAAAATCGTAGAATAATTAAAAAAAACGTTTTGTAGGTTGTATTATATATAAATATATTTTAGCACTGTGTTGTATTTTTAAGAAAATTTTTTTATTAAGCTGTGGTATCTAAAATATGTGGTTAAAAAGAAAACACAAAACAATTGCTTTTTAGTATATGTATAACAAAGTACCAACGAAGAAGTTAAAAAGTTTTAAAACTCTAACAGCGCGTTAAAGTTGAAAATCCAAGCTTCAAAATGCTTTTCTAATTTGTCGTTTAAGGTGATTTCTCGTTAAGTTTCAACAACAATTATTTTCAAAAAATAGCACAAAGCATACGAAGTCTTCTCTATTTTTTAGTAGTGTATTTATTTATTAGTAAATAAAAACAAAATTAATGAAAAAAATGTTTAATAGAATTATAAATAATTGTATCTTAAATATGTGTGATACCTTATTAATAATATACTAATATAATAATATAATAATATACTAATTAAAAATTAATTTATGACTACCAAAAATATGACCGTACTTGAAACATAATAAATGTTGCCAATATACTATAAAGTAAAATCAATTGCAGTCGAATAAGTTTGGATTGTTTATAAGGCCATAAACCAACTGCAAGCAAAAGAATACGATTAAAATTAAAGTATCGAGACTTTACGCAGATCATCACTGTTAGTGTTGAAACACGGCGGACTAAGAAGTCGGTACAATTCACTTACCCCTGTTTGTCGATTAATCGATCGTTTCATAACATCTACCTCATAGTGTAAAGACTTATAATCTTCATTTAGGTAGCGTTTAATATTAGCGACATAAAATATAACCATGAGACAAAACAAAAGCGACCTAAGAACTTTTCTTAAGGAAAAGTCTACATAGTCTATATAATAAATTATATAAGGCCTATGAAAATCCTAAAAGGGATTAGTTTCATGCTAAGGGTAATTTAACAAATGTTATTTTCTCACACAAAAATGTTTTATGAGAAGTTTCTTTTTACAAAAGTCACGTAGATATGCTACAATTCCACGTGTCCATTTCAGTGTTTTATTCCAGCTTATAAACTTTCAAATTACGATTGACTAAACATTAAATGACGATAAAACGAATTGTTAGACGACTTTAGGCTGGCAGATAGTTTATTTATTTAAATCCGAAGTTTCGACCGTACGGGTTGTGGTTCTTCTCAAGGAATTCAACAATCTACAAGTTTTCTCAAAGGACATTACAACTCAAAAGTATATAAAATATATATAAAAAGTATATAAAATTTTTTTAACTAATAATTTCACATATCGACTTAATCAACACCTTTATCTTAATTTATAATTTATTTATTTACTGAAAGTATTTATTATTTATTTTTGTTTTATCCTTTTCGACTCCGACTTCGCTTTTATAGCCTAACATATTTTTAAACTAATAATTTTACATACTGACTTAATCAACATTTTGCTCAATACTGGCTGCCGCCAGTAAAGTTACCTCGTCCGTCGCGCTGTGGACTAGGCGACTCTGTCTACCCGTCTCGTCCTTGCCTGTACGTTGTCGTCTTCCTCGTCGGCGAACTCCGGGATCTGCGAGGAAAGGCAATTCACCAGGCTTCCAACCGGAGGGCCGTCTCCAGCGCTTCTGGGAAGCGTCGGGCTCCTCATGGGCGTTGAGCCGGGCTCCGGATTGGCTACGTCCTGAGGTTCGGCTGCTCCTGTCGTAACTCTGTTCACATTTCCTGTAGCCACCATTAGCAACCTTTCGAATTGTTCTTGTTGTAGCTGGTGAGCCAGCCTCTGCTGCTCGAGCATCTCCTCGATGGATGTCAGGACTTGGCGTAGCAGGGGCGTTGATGCCTGCTCCAAGGAGCCTGCCGAGGCCTTCCTTGGTTTGCTGCCCGCCGCTGCCCTCGCTGCCTCATCCTGCAAGTCATGCGGCCCTTGCCGCTCAAGGTGCCTCATGATATTTTCAATGATTGTTTTCCGGTCACCTGTAACGGGCAAACCGTACTTATTTGCTTCCTCTTTTAACTGTTCCAAAGAACATGCTTTGGATCTGGGCCCTGTCCATGGCTAAATTCGCGCGTGTCTTTACCATGCGCTCCCGAATTCTTCTCGGCCCTCTTTGAGGCGGATAGTGGGCAGGAATCCCACTTCTGAAATTTCTGTAAGAGTTTGTAAGGAGGAGGTCCCCGAAGTCTCTCAGAGGAGAGGGGACGGAGAGGATATCTAGGATGGTCGGTTGGATTCTGGAAGGTCCGAGAAAGAACTGACTCTAATAAAGCACTTTTTTAGATCACAGGCTTTAACTTTAATTTATAAGTACTTCTACACTGATATATTCAAAGGCTCTCGAGATAGTACCGCGCGCTTTCCCTTCACGAAGGAGAGGGCTCCGGTTTTCGCAATCTCGGAGCACGTGCGCTCGCTCCGTGGTTTCGCACCTGCGCGTTGTCAAGCGCCAGCGTATTGGCCGCTCGCTATCGGGATATGCGCGAAGCGCTGTCAGCTGGGATGAGAGATCCGCGCCGGCGCAATTCTCACCAAATTCTTACAATATCTTGCAAAATTGAAAAATACTAATACTTATGCATTTAAAATACTATTTTGTACAGGAAGCAATAGATGCTGATAAAATGGATTCAAATAAAGCAATTGTGTGTACAATGTTTGCAACAATACTTGGTTTAGCTTATTATGCTGCAAACGCAGCACCAGAAATATCTAGAAGAAAACGTCGTTGGGGCGTACGTTCAATAAATAGAAAGAGAATAACCAAAGGTCACTTTAATAATTTATTTTATGATATGCAAAAAGTTGTCGAAAAAGAACACTTTTTGGTAAATATTTACCCTTACTTAGCACCCGCCAATCAACTTCCGTTTGACCTTGATGTTGACCTTGACCACTAAAGCGGTCAAGGTCATTACCCAATCCCGTCGCTCATTGTTTGTTAAAAAGTTATGAAGAAAAGAGAGGAAATGTATTTGACATCACATTATAAACATATTTTCACATATAGCTGTTTAGGTTTTTGTGTATTTGTACTTCCGCCGTTGTACTGTTTCACATGGGTTTGCGATTTTCCACGCGAAGCGAGATCCGCTCCACACCTCGGATATAGTGTGGGTAGGGTTATATTTTAACGAGGTGGAGCCCCCCCCCCCGAAGGGGGCGCGGAACATACTGGCTGCGTTCGGGGAGACGCTATTAGCGCTATGAGTAGCTAATGCTAAAATGGCCGTTCGAGGAACAATTGTGGCGCTCACGGTGGCAAGCTCCCCGAACGACTTTCATAACATTGTAAGCGCGTATTATACGAAAAGGTAAGTTGCACTTATGTTACAAAGTACAAGTTTAACACGGACTTAACCGATATTTTCTTAATGAAGATCTCTGATAAACGGGTTCGCAATGTAGCTGTGATCTGTCATATCAAAGACATTGAAAAAAGAGCTTTCATAGAGTGTTTTATTTAAAGGTTATTAAAAAATGTTAATTAATAATTGCCAGCTATTCTTTCCAATGTAGCGAATTATTAACGTAAGAATATCCCAGTACTTTTTACCGTTTCCTTCTCAATGAAATGTTTTCTTTTGCAGAGGTACATTTGCTCTTTCAGTGTGACTTTTTTACATCTTTACAAACGTCTACAGTTCGATACGTGTATTACGGACACCCTGGGGGAGTCCCGTCTGGGCCGTTGAACGGTTCACACGTCTTCCGACGGAAGATAAAAATTTTTGATCTTGCGGGATTGCATCATCCAATAGGAATTGCATCATCCCGCGCGAGGTTCGGTAGTTGGGCCTCTGCATTGTGTGACATTAAAAACGCGATAAAGAAGAAGAAGAAGAAGACGGACACCCTGGTATGTAATATGTATGTATATACAACCTGAACTTTCACGTAAATGTTAATATCGACGTATGGGTGATATTCGGGTGATAAGCTTTGACGGTTGGCTGAAACTTGCTACCGTTTCTGTAGTTTATCTTGGCACAATACACTACCAAATCTAACAAGAATGAACAAATTAATATCGTAGGCTCGAACAACATGGAGGACAATCTTATTGACCCGGCACCGCAACGGATTGCAATTTTGAATGGAATCACAATGATTTTGATGGAGCTTCTTGATTTTTCATCATCAGAAAGTGAAGAAGAAGAAGAAGAATTAGAACATGTTTTGCATATAGTGGAAAAAAGAAAGAAGTTACCAAGATTGGAAAATTACGTAGAGAACGTTGTGCCTGCTTACAGTGATCTACAATTCAAGTCACATTTTAGGTAATTCGAAAATTATGAACTGTACATCGTATATTTTGTATTAAATGATTTATAAAATTTTAGCTTTGTGCATGCATTTATTTATTAAAATATTTATTTGTATTTATTTATTATCCTATGTTCTTATTTTATTTTTCAGAATATCTAGAGGTACATTTGAGTTTATACTTAACATTATCGCCCCGAGATTAAAGAGAACATGTTGGGGAATGTCAATGATATCTCCTGAGAAACAATTTCTTATTGCAGTATGGCGTATGGCAACTCCTGATTCTTATAGGTATGTGTTACTTATGAAATTATCACTTTTTTATGTCAAATGTAGTTCTTACTTATGATCACCAAGTGGTGTCTTTCTTTCAGATCTATATGTGAGAAGTTTAATGTAAGTCGAGCTACTGCTCTCAGTGCCACACGGAGAGTAGTAAGATCTCTATATCATTTGGCACCAACTGTTATCAAATGGCCATCAGGCAACAATGTCCGTGAAGTTTGGACCGGATTTGAAGCTACGAGTAGTTTCCCGAAAGTTATTGGCGCTATAGATGGAACTCGTATAAATATTCCAGCCCCTTGTGTTGAACCAGCATCATATGTGAATCGTAAAGGACACCATTCTATTCAACTGCAGGTATATTTATCCAGACATATGCAAGTATAACAGCTCATTGCATGCTTAAAGTAATGTAAGTTCTATCTATACTATAATGTAATGCTTTTTTGTTTCTAGGCAGTGTGTAACCATAAAACACACTTCACACATTGCTTTGTAGGCCATCCAGGGTCTGTGCATGACCAACGAGTATTCCGATTAAATTATCAGAAGTGCACGAATGGTTAGGGAATCCTGAAAAATTTCCCGATGATTGTCACATCCTTGGAGATGCTGCATATAAATTACAT